TTTCCTTGTCACATTCAATCAAGGTCTTGAAAATTGGATGGGACAAGATGGTTGGACTGGTTGACCAGGGAACTCTGGTCTTGGCTCCAGGTCCAGTTTTGGACCCCAAATCATGTGAACAGGGTTACCGTTTGACCAGTGGTTAAAGTCGTTCTGTTTCTGTGTCGGTTTTTAAAACCATGCATTCAATCTTCTCTTCATTTCTTAACCCACTTCACTCTTGAACTTCCTTTATTGGCAACCCTCCTTATTTTCCATGAAACCTATATTCTCCTCTCCTTTTGTTAGAAATTTAGGCATCATTTGGAATCGTTCCATACAAACATTTTTGGTGTTCTAGGTGTTCCCATGGAACAAAAATGTGTTAAGTTTATTCGATTGACCAGAATTGTTTCGTGCCTAGGCCAAAACACACTTGGGAAAATCCATTTCTTAGAAATGTCTAACTCATTTTTTTTTCTGGAACTAGCTCACTGGAACATGAGGTCCCCATGACGTCGTTAAAAATTGTGAACATGTGTGCCTAAAACCCATGTGAGAGTCGGGCAAATTGATAATTTTGAACAAAAAATTAGATTTCATTGATTGAAAAAGATATGTTGGAGCATAAAGCCCTAACATCTTTCCTCTTCCCTTGTAACCGCCGACTGGAGATTGGAAAACCCTCCCATCGCCTTCGTCTAAAGAAATAGAACAGGATTATAGTCTCTTTCAAGAACAAGATTTTGGCCTCCTTCAAGACCACCGATGAGGAGATTTTTGCCTAGGTAACATATGTTTTTTTCTCTTTCTTCTTCCTAGCATTTTTCAGACCTATTACATGGTTGTTTTTTAGGAACATTTTGCCAAACACTTGGTTTCTCAGGAATAAGAAACAAGAATCCTGTTCTGGAACAGAAATGTCCTTATTAACAAAAATATGTAGGAACTACTAAATGAGGCTTATTTTGCTCTCTAGCTACTTGTATAAGGATCCTCTCCATCAGTGTTTTGAGACTCGGACCGGACACAACCGGAATGCTCACCGACATGGTTTCAAATGTTGCCAAATGTCGCTAATGTCGCCCGACATATGTTGATGTCGAGGCTCAACGACATGAAAGTGGATGGTAATATAAAAATTACATTATGTCGGTCGACATTTCCTATATTTCGGAAATGTTGATCAAATCGGTCCAAATAACAAAAAAAATATACAGTTTTTCCTATTATGTCGACAAGATGTCGACTAATCTACATTAAAAATATAATATATTAGTATATTATATTAATATAATACAGTATAATAATATAGATTATTCCATTAATAATTTGTATTTAATATTTCAAATAAAATATTTATAAAAAGAATTAACAAAATATAAAAACAAAAGAATAAATTAATTACTTTATAATATAAAACATAAAATATTTTCAAGTAATAAAATATTAACTAGTTAGTATTTTTTAAAATATTTATTAAAACCGGAAAGTGTTTACTAAATTTTATAATAAACCATATTCTACATTTAATATAAAAAATCAGAATAAATTTAATAATTTTTATACTAAATCATAATTTATTATAAATTTAGTATTAAAAATCATAATAAATTCATTAAGTTTTATAA